TTTGCTCTCGTCGCTTCAGATGACGTTAGAGCTCTGTGGCGATCTCCAGTCCAAGTGCGCATTCCGTTGCCGACCAGTTCACCGTCGGATAACTTCCGACGACCAGCCGCTCACGCATTTACTAATTTGAAGGTAAACATTTCTCACTTAAGAGTTAGCATATGAGGGAATCTCGCGAATTGGGTCGCGTAAGAATTATAAAACCGCGTGGCTACTTACTATTCGCGTACAACAAGAGATCCTCCTCAGGATTTCCAATCAGATGAAGGCGCACGTATACAGTTAGGTTCTAGAAGGTGTTGTGTATCCACACGTCTGGCACTTGTACGCACTACTTCGCCTTCTAGCAATAGAGCGACCAAAAGCATCGCACCTTCACTGTGAAGGAGTGGTTTCGACAGCATGGCGCGCTTTCAACGAAGGGAACAATTCACACCATGTCCTGAGCGCCATCGAAACATTATGGGAAAGGGGTAGGGATACCTTTGGTGAAATAAGAGCCAGCAATATGGACGAGAAACTCGTCACATTAATTGATTTCATACTTAGGCCATAGTAAAATTCGAGCTACTCTAGAAGATTATCGGCGGAGTTAAGATCTTCTTGATGTTCTTTATGAGGTGGTTCCTTCTTCTGTTGGATTATAAATTTTGGAATAATTTGAAATTCACTTACAATGGTCATGGGAAACTCCAATAAAATAATTTTTCAATTTCCATTGTTCCTCCTACTAATTGAGCATATGCGAATCTTCCTCAAAACATTTCAAAATTTGGACCAAGTTGATCAAGCAGAATGAAAGTTGCAGTTGAAAACGCATTTGGTCGAACACTGTTGAGCGACTGTATATGTACAGCACAGAAGGCCGGAGAATTAATCAGTGAAAAGCATGTTAGGGAGACAAACAGACAAATCGTATAAAATACCTTGGAAACAGAAATATGCCATCTGAACCTAGTAATTCCTTCAGTTCGCGGACTAGCCTATCACGCTTGTAGCATACCTGAAATAAATAATGCGAAATGACGCGCGAACTGAGCAAAAAACCCGTTCTTCAATTTTGCAAAATTACAGAGCACAAAAATAGACAAAAAAGGATGAAATGTATGGGAAATCAGCATACCTCTTTCTTCTGTTCGTCACTCAATGCATCAGTGTTGTCGATTATTGCTCCGAAAATCCCCGGCAGAGTATGATTTGATTTACCCATGAGTAATTTCAACAACTCCCAGTATGGGTTGACTTGACCTTTAGAACCCTGAAGTCAAAACCAGGAGTCTAATGAAGACTTATCTTCTTGATCACTGTAATCCACCATATATTTACCTCAGAGCACAACATGTATTCAGACAGTTTAGGGCCGCCCTTGATGTACATGCTGACAAGGAACATTTCAATAGCAGAACGAGCCAAAGGTATATCCATGCGATGAGCAACAAGATCATACTTGCGCTCAAAATAATTGACAGCCTAAAATCGGTCCACATCATCGGCAAGACTTACCAACGGAAATGCTTTCAAACTTCCATGAGCAACTTTGGAAGGAGACTATATGTCCTCCATAGAGCGTGTAAACAACTACCTTACTATACACTCCGTTGCAAAACTATACGACATACCTCAAATTTCGGGGTTCTGAGGCGAGGGTGGGATTAGCAGGAAAACGTCTACTGCCATTCGATTCAGCGTGTTAACAAACCTACTGAGGAGATTCACTTTCAAATTTCATTCATTTTCAAAAGCATGGGATCAAAAAAACGAAAAAAAAAGGCCGTTGCAAAACTATACGACATAGCACATTTTTTTTCACAGGAATTTTATTTCAGTACACGTTTCCACAACAATTGTAAACCATATAGCAGTATGTGATAGGTCAATAGTCAACAGGTCCGCCATGATGTGCTATCACGTCGAACAGCCGATTTGGCATGCTCTCAATCAACTTCTTCAGAACCTCCTTCTGTATCAGTGCCCATTCCTCGAGTATCGCCTTTTGTAAGAGAGCCACTGTCTCGTACTGTTTTCCCCGAGCGTAGATTCGACGCGCGAGGATGCCCCACAGATTTTCCATCGGATTCAGATCGGGGGAACATGCAGGCCAATCCAGTAAATCGATGTGATGAGCCTCGAACCAATCCAGAGTTGATCTGCTAACGTGTATGGCAGCGTTGTCTTGCTGAAAAATGAGACGATGGCGGCGATTTCTTCTCATAAATGGTAGAAGGTGGTTTTTGAGCACGTCCTGGTAATCACTGGAATTCATTCGGCAAGTCGTGAAGACTATATCCAGCTTGCCACACCAGCTAAAAGCCGCCCAGCACATCACGCTTCCCACCGCCAAAGTTCCGCTTAGAGAAGGTGATTGGATTTTTGCGCAGATCTCTCCAATACGAGTGCCATCCGTCCGGCCCATCCAAATTGAACTTTTTTTCGTCGGAAAAAATGATCTGCAACAGCAAGTACCACTCATGGTCGTCCAAAACTACACGTAATAATTAGTACTACCGTCTTCCAATTTGTCTGCATGTTGATTCTTGCAAAGCAAAGACGAGCCTCCTTGTGTTCCTTCGTAAGTCGGGGAGCACTCTTCATTTTCTCACGGACTATGTATGACGAGTCATTAATCACACGTATGACCGTGTCTTTGCTCACTTGGAGCCCCAATTCTTCCCTGATTTCGCTAGCCGTCTTCGTGCTGTTCGACGCCAATCGAAGAATTGAACGGCGATCACGTTCGCTCAGCTTCTTCGGTCTTCCGGTTAAAGTTTTCGTATTATACGCGAGTGGATTCCGCAAATACCGTGCAATGCAGTCTCGAGAGCGGTCGATCCGCTGGCTCATCCGGCGAACACTCCATCCCAGGTCGCGCATGACGTCGATTTCAGCCTGCTCGTCCATAGAAAGGCGATTGTTGCGTGGCATTTTGCTCCATGTGGAGTAGAAACATATATGGTATATGTATGCAACATGAAACGGTAATATTTCTCGTTTCCAATCTGGATATAGTTGAGGAGTGTTGAGAATCAGTAGCTATGTCGTATAGTTTTGCAACGGCCTTTTTTTCGTTTTTTCGACCCCACGCTTTTGAAAATGAATGAAATTCGATAATGATTCACCCCTGTAGGTTTGTTTGCACGCTGAATCGAACGGCATTGACCATTTCCCTGCTCATACCACGCTAACTTCAGAACTCCAAAATTTGGGGTAACTTCGTATAGTATTTTAGCACGGAAGTGTATAAAAAAGGATAAAAGGATAAAGCATTTGCCGTTGATCAATCCCTTTTGGGATGCGGCACGCATTCTACTTCCATTTGTACATTCGCAGTGGCATTTGAATGCGATGTGGCCTATACAATGACTTGCGGGGGCCAGCCGATGTTCAAGTCAGTGTTTTTATCCTCCCAGACAAGTCTGGTACCAATTAACCGACCCCGGAGGGATGGAAGGCTTGGTTGGCCCGGGCGACTCACGACCCAGGATTTGATCCCGGACCGCTCGCGTGGTGAGCGCGCCACTTGTCACTACACCACTTCCGCCCTGTACGAGTACATATGGACATTAAAACTGCTACGTGAACTTTATAAGAAAGTTACGAGCATTCAAAGTTGGCAAAAAACGTTACTGAGGTAGGCTTACCTGATGGAATCACGCTCGCCGTGGCTCTGCGCTAAAAACGAGTATCAAATTCGTAATCAGGGCACCCACTAACCCTTATAGAACAAGAAACCAGACAAAAAGCATCCGTGATTTCATCAGGTGAGCTCGCCTCAGTAACGTTTTTTGCCAACTTTGAATGCTCGTAACTTTCTTATAAAGTTCACGTAGCAGTTTTAATGTCATATTTGTATCAGCCGCTCCCGAAACCCTATCGATATTAATTAGTATCCTTTCAGAAGTTACCCAATGAGAGTCAAAACATTTCCTGGTTAAGACGTAAAAACCTATTTTCGTACACAATCAAAAAAGCGACCGTGTGCATCGTTCTAGACTTCAAAGACCCCTTTTGACCACTAGTAGGAAAACGAGACTAAGAAAATACCTTTCGAAGAGTTGCTCTCATGTCCTTGCTCAGTGGGCGCGTCAACAGCACATCACTGAGACCTTCCATGTAAAAGATACGTAATTTTCGCATTGATACAGGCTCATCGAGATTCAAAGATGGAACACGATCGCCACCCATCACCTGAAAAGTAGCGTGATCAGACGTGTGTTCCTCGATGCAACATCACATTTACGAAACCCGCATACGGACGCGCTCCCTTACCATAAGACTTCTTTGAGGCCCTGTTATGAAGGGTTTAGAAAAAAGAGAAACAATAAGACTTGAAATTCACCAAATGCGACTAAAGTTACGCACTTCAACTCTTCGCCTTCACTGGGATCATCAAGATAGACGGTTACCCTCCTTGAGAAACAATATGGGGTAAACCCAGCCACCTTGTTGAACATTTCTACAAAAACTGGAAAGTCCACAAACCTTGACCAACAATGGAATATCTTCAGCAAATCGACAAATAGGTCCTATTCGGAGCATTTGAGCTTTATATTGTGTGGCTGCTGGGATATGGCCATCCAGAGGAATAACTCCTGCGCACAAAAATTTACAAGAGAACAGAACTCAAAATAACAGAGTGGTAACATTTTAGAACTAACGATCACAATCTTATAATTCATTACTATAATTCATTTTCCTGTTACGTGTGCTCCGTATCACTTTAGTTTCGCAGAGGAATCAAACATAAGCACATTCTCACAAGAATGTTTCGTTTTGTTGTCAGAAAATTTTACCCTCTGCTTCGCTATCTCGTACCTAATCCTTGAAGCGTTAGCGCGTTCCATTCGAAGTGATCTGTCATAAGTATTCTATTTTTGGTTATAATCTCTAATGAACCAGTTTGGTCACGCTAATCCACACGAAAAACAGTGCACCGAAGAAAAATTACAGCATTCCTATGTTAACCTGTTACCGAGAGTGACCACTCCTTCCATTTTTGGTGTGGTTCGCTAGGAGAGACTACTTTTTCGCGTATTGCAGCGCGCAACATTTTTCACTGCGATAACTCCAGGTCCACTAATGATTAGCGAACGACTTGAGGTTCAAGTAGCAAAATTTGCTCACGCTGTGAAACATGAAGAAGTCGTTTCTGTCATAACGAACCACAACTCCATTTCTGAATCTTACCAACCAACTTTTAGTAACCTAAGAATTTAATCTGTTCAAATTCAAAATCATAATGCTGTACGCCACTAGTCGCCGCTTTCGTTATTACTACTCCTCTCAGTACGTCTTTGACGAGTTCGATACTTTTTTTGCTTCGACTTCGTCATTACTGGGAGTGGCAAACATTCACTCCCTATTTAGTCCTAAATCTTCATAAAAGGGAAAGGGAGTAGAGCGCCAGCAAAGTTGAAGTAAGACCTTGCTGGGAAATTATGAACTTGGTTGATGGGAAGCAAAAAAAAATACCTGGAGTGGTTTTCATGCCAAAAACACCATTGAAAAAGGCTGGCATACGGATGGAACCTCCTATATCGCTTCCCACTCCGATCTAAAACCCAAGCATATTAGTTCTATTTTTTAGTGGCGCAAGAGATTCTCTAGATGGCGACAAAGTGTAAGCCTAGACAAGGAAATGTAACTTACGAGTAATTTATGGATAATAAATCACAAAATAGTGGGAGGACTACACTAACCACACTGGCAGCGGCACCAAGCAGCGCTCCTTCGCCTCCACTACTCCCACCAGCCATTCGGCGAGCGTCATACGGATTTGACGTTCGACCGTAGATTGTATTAGACGTCTCTACCCACATGCACACTTCTGGAACATTCGAGATGGCCAGCAAAATTCCTCCCGCGGCGCGCATCCTTAAAAATAGTATGACGGAGTATGGCTAGAGGAACGGTTCACGGGCTATATTCATTTATTTATTTACCAGTTTAGCTGCGCACGATACCGCGCGGGAAACACTGTCGAAGAGGATAGGACTGTCGCGGCAGGGTTGAAGTGCGTTGCGCTGTTCTCAATTGAGGGAGTGGTATTTGAGTTATTCGGGAGGGGCCGTATTTGAGGAGGTTGGTAGGGAAACGGAGTTGTTACCATGTATTTGGGGGTGAAGGGCAGAATGAGGGAGTAGATAATTTCCCGCTTCAACCGCGTTATATACCCCCCCTAGCGGTGACAGCATAAGAAAGATAGAGGAGATATAGAGGATTGCGCTAAGCCTTTGTGTGTCTATTTGAAAAAATTAAGTACTATCTAAGCAACCACCTTCAGAGTCCAGGTCAAGTTTGGGATGGGTAGAGAATGAGTCAGGCTACACGGGGCAGACATGGACCATGGG